ATATATATATATATATATATTAATTTCTAGTTCTGTTTTTCTTTAAAATGTAATTTTGTCTTTCATGGTGCTATGAGCATGCATGTTAGTTATGGATCCTCTATTTACGTCTCTCTCTCACTCTTTTTTGTTTAGGTCATAGGCCCTCCCTCCTTTACCTTAAAAAAAATAGTATGTTAAAATTATTGCCAAATATTGATAAAATATTTGTTTTTTTTATAATGAAATATTTTAATTTATTATTTTTTCTAATTTAGACTTGTAATGACAATTAAACGTATCATTTTATTTTTATAAGAATGACTTGATAAAAACGAGTTATTCCTAAAAAAAAAAAAAGTTATACCAAATTGGATCTTTATACATATCATAAATGATGAACAATAATTTTGGACCTAATTTTGTTCATGTTATTACAATTCCAAAATAAAATCAAACAAATTACATAATAAATGGACCAGATTTGAGAATTTCTCACTCAAATGCCTGACGACAGAAAGAACAATAATAGTAACTAAAATGAAAAAAGAAAATAGAATGAAATATTTGGTGACGTGAGATATTTCTTGGTAATCAAGGAAGAGATTTTCAAAGACACAAACCCATGGTGGCACCATACACCACCACCTAGTGCCTTCTCTCTCACACACATCTCCCTTTCTTGTTCCCCCTTCTATGCGTCTCTTTCTCTCTTACTCATACTACTTCTTACATCTTATAGACCTTTTAGTTGCTTACAAGAAAAGGTAAACAAAAAAGGTAGTAAAAAAAATTATAAAATTAAATCTTACTTGTCCATAGTAAACCATGTATCCAAGTTAAACACTATGATCTCCGTCATTGAAAATATTTAAGAAACTATAAAATAAAATAAAAAAGTGAAAATATAGGTTATTTTAAAAGTAATTACTGGCAAGAGTTTTTCCAACTGATGGTATTTTGCTGTAAACTATTTGTTACAGTATGCACGAAAAATAAAAGAAAGAACGAAAGAGGAGAAAAACATTTATCTTTTCTTCACTTCATATTTTTTTTTTCAAAAAAAAATGGGAGGAATGATTAAAAAGTGGGTAGGCCCACAAGTTTATTAATCTCTCCGAAATGGATAAAAAAAGAGAGAGAATGGTGTTTTACATTATTAAATACCTAAAATATCTTATATTTTTGTATATTTTTTATTAGGAACATTTGTGACATTCTTTATACATACTTAACTTTATTTATTTATTTATTTATTTTTATTTTCATTTCTATCAAACATCCTATAAAAGTGTTTTACTTTCCATTCATTTAAAAAAAAAACCTCATTTTTTATAACTAATTTTTTAAAAGAGCCCCAACTTGTATATATTTGATTAGATTATTGAGTAGCTCACACGCGTTCTAAAGAGGTTATAAAACGTAAAGTATACACAATTTCTTGATATTTAGTATTGTCAGGTTGAAATAAAAATAATAATAAAAATAATAATAAGAATAAGGGAAAGAAAAGTGTGTAAAGAATAGGTTTTCTTTGGCTTGGTTTGCAAATATACAAGGAAAAAAGTTTTGTTACACACCAAAATTTGTTCTTTCCAGTTTGAAAAGAAATGGTGTGGATTTGAATGAAAAAAAATCTTTGAGTTAATTTATATTATTAATTTTATTTTTTATTATTTCAAGTGATATCAACTTAGATTAATGTGAGTGACAGGGAATATGTTGCTTGATGAAATGATTAGAGATCAAATTCTTACACTTGCAAATATAGAAAATTTAAGTTAAAAAAAATGTCTACTCATTATCTGTCAAATCATATTCAACGAAAAAAAAACTCCTTAGCAATAACCTACAAACTTTTTTTTACAAGTAATAAAATATTTTTAATTAACTATTTTATTAATTTATCTGGTGTCTTCTCTTGTATTTTTTTTAATTATTCAAAGCATATTTTATGTTTTAATTTTTTTATTATATTCCATCTTTGTTTACAGGTATTATTATGTCAAATAACAACTATATATTTTCTTTCTTATTTTCTACTCAATTAAATAAGAGAAAAAGGATTTTGTGACAGGGTTTGACAGGCACCTAGTCGTCTCTTATTATTTTCTTCTCAATTAATGATTTTTATATTAGATAATAGTGAAAAAGGATTAACAAAAATTTATATCTTTTAAAAATTAATTAAAATAAAAGTTTTGTGAAGGTGAAAGACTGAAATGATCAACATTTACAATCTAAGATTTATTCCAATTTAAATTGATAAATTTCTCCCCCAATAAAGTTCAATTATTGTCTTTTACATGGGAAAAAAATACAAATATAAAAATCCACTTACCTGTAACATCTCAAGTCCAGCTAGGTTTTTCTAGGCCCTCCACGAGAAATATTAAAAACAAAAGAGGATTGAACTCTCGTTTCCCGCAACATTAAATGGAACTAATATTTTCTTTGTTTAGCTTAATATCCAGATGAAAATTATCTATATTCTCTGAAGTTTACCCATATGTTACCCACAACTTTATAATAAAACACACTGACCTGCAATCAACGTTTTGAATGAGTGGTTAAAAATACGCAGTTTTAATCCAGAAAGAGATATGGCACAATATTGATACAAAAAGAAGGGACAAGTAGTGGATACAAATAAAGAGGAGAAAAAAAATTCAACCTTAGTAATACAAAAGCTAATAATTCTCTTACAAATATGAATCAAATTGAAGACAACGGGAAAAGATTGACAGATCGTAAATAAAAAACAAAAGGAAAAAAAAAATCAAACATTTTCCCAACCAAAAACAGATTGAACAAAAGGTCTTACACAGAAGATACAGCCTTACACTTGACAATTCCTGACTTGTAGTTATGAACTTTATAGACAATGAGCAACTTACGATCCGTTGCCAAAACAAACAACTATCATAACGGGAGATATGATCAGGCCAAGTAAACTCTAACTAATTTCTCTGAGTCCCTCTCCCATCCACCAGTTTAAAATCATTGACCATGGAAGTTGACACGATTATTTGGTGGAATTCAAGCTCCAATTCTCCAAAGAAAGATACAAGTTCTTAAATAAGCCTTAGTTCATACTCTCCAGCCATCGTTATGTATCTCACCCATGGAAGAGCCTGATACCCACTTTTCTCAATAATCTTCAAATATCTTACCTATAAAACCAAAACATTTACACGTTTATTACCATCTTCAAATCAAACCATCAGCTAACTGAACAACAACATCAAAATATGTACTAAATTTTATTTTCACCAATATATCTTGTGGCTACACATGTTTCACATGGATCAAAACAAACTACTTCCCAAAACTATTAATCAGGGACAATGGACTAAAATCAAGTGTATAGTTTTATTTTCTAATCTCTTTCTGATGTTATACTCATTTTTCCACAATCAATTCTTCTCTTTTTTTAATATTACTATTTATAAACATTTATCGTGAATTTCTGAATATCAACTGAACTGTGAAAATAATTTGAACTAAAACAAATTCATCTAGTTCACTACAGCGCTCAATCCATTGAAATCATCAAAATGTTAATAGGAAAATGGAGAGGGAAGGAAGAATAGTATTGATAAAAATAAAGGAAAACATTCACCTAAATTTAATCAGAGATACAAACAAACATTATTTCCTATGCTGAAAAAAAAAAAAGTCTAGCAACATTAACCATGGAATGTAGCAATACCTGTATTCCAGAAACAGTAAAATATGGTATCTCAAATTTCACACGTATAGGAGCTTTTCTCTCTGGAGTTGCTTCCTCATCTGTTATACTGGGAAGACGAAACTCTGCTCTTAACATATACTCCTAAAAGTGTCAAAGAGGAAAACCAGATCCAATAAATCATGATCAAAAAGAGGTATCAAGATGGGTGTTATTCAAGGATTTAATGTCAATTTCAAGTGAACTCATACCTTGCCTCCAGGAAAGGATCTAATTTTCCAGACTAATGCATCCTTTTCAGGTGCATATGATGCAGCTCCCATTGAAGTTCGGACATTAGGATTGGTTGCATCAACAGGCACAGGTAACTCAATCTCAACGTTTGTGGCAGTGCTATAAAATAAATTATATTAGTTGTAAGCAAAGACATTTGAGGCAGTCTAACTTCTAGAGCTATAACCTGATTTCCCCAATATCGGGGGAGGGAGGAAACGTAACAGACATAAGAAAGGAAGAAATCTCAGTACCTACGTTCCTTAAATTGACTCCTAGCTTTAACCATAATCTCAATCCGACTCTTAGAATGCTTTTCAACATTTGCTTCCACCCAAATTAAAGGCTTAACCTGAAAAAAGAGATGGTAGAATCAACAGACTTAAAAATGCTTTTATTCTCTATTTATCTGTGTTTACCTCTCAAAACAGAAACTTATGTCATATCTAGAGAAAAAAAAAAAAAAAAAAAAAAAAAAAAAAAAACAAAGAAACAACCTGTGTACTGAGCCTGTACGTCATCAAATCAAACGACCCATCAGGTGGTATAAAGGAAATTGTACGATCATTTTCAAATCGAGCCAAACGCACACACCTTCATAAAATGCCAGATATAATTTGATAACTAGCATCAAGAAGAGGAAGAGGAAACATGCTTGAAAAAATTATACAAAATTTTCACTCTAAATGACCAGTTTGTAAATACAAGTCAAGCATACATACTGATGAAATTTGATGTCTTCCAAGTCAATAGCCTTTCCCTTGGTTGCTCTACCTTGCGCCTCTAATAATACTCTATCATTTAAGCCAAGTTTGCACTCAGGCATACCACTGCATTAGATAAGCCATGAATGGCACATTTGAGTTTTCAGATAAATACTCTACCATTAAGTTGGTTAGAATAATAATACTCCATGGTTAACATGGTCTTCAAAACAACTATCAACAGTAAAAAAGTAGAGTAAAATATGGGTCCAATGGTTGGACCTGCCAGCAAAATATCAATCAAATGGACAATGGACAATGGATATGTATATTTAGCACGTGCTGTTAAAGAAAGCTTCAGGAGTACCAAATAAATAAAGCTATCCAGAAGCATGTGTAATCAGTTCAAAGTAAAAACAGAAAATAACATACTCCAAGTCCAGATTGCTAATTTTATTTGCATCCTGAAATTTTACTTGTACAATATTCAAAAATGGTATTAAAAAAGATTCGATATAAAGACTCAGTGTTGGCTTGGTTCTCTAATCCCTTATGTACCTCTTCAGTCCTCACCATTAACCACACACAAATGAGTAGACACAACAACAAAAGCACCCAAAATAGAAAACCAGAAAACTGAGATTGGCACATAATAGCCCTAACCTAACATATTAGAATGTAGACAGAGCAATCAATAGTAGAAAGCCTAGTTAGTTAACAGCCCATCTCAAACCAATAGCAAGAAATTCAATAGATCTCACGGAAAGTAGAAAAGAATACCTCAAATACGTTCTCATCTTCAATGCCCCAACAACATCAGATCTAATTATTTGTCCATTGCTATTGACAAGTATATTAACATTCTCCACCACATCCAAGAAAACCTAAAAACACGATCAAAAAGTACAATTCAGCTGCTTAGACCATCAAATTACAATTCAAAAAGCTACAGATTCTTCACTTTTTTAAATGACTACCTCATTTTTCTTATAGTTTATCCCTTCGCTGCGCCAAGACACAGCATTAGTCACAGCCATGGGAGGTCTCTGCGTAACTTCCATTCTGTAAGCATCGGTCTTAATGAACTCACTAAGAATCTGCGCCTCAGTGTACTGAGGGTAGCCAAAGTCCATAATCTCGTCAAGTAGCTCATACTGCCAACGACACAATAAATCTCAAAACGACACAATTCAACGAAATTCATTCACGCAATTTACACAAAAAAAAAAGATAGATAGCTAAATTCAGCGGCATTTTACCACGACGACGAAGTTGTCTCTAAGCGATTCCTCTTCCAACTCTTCAAAGTAGTGCTTAAACACCTGCCACAACGACACGGATCGATGACTATTCGCAAAAACTAATTTAACTATCGATTAGAATGGTTTAAACGAGAAGAACGCATACGTCGACGATTCGATGCAGGAAGAAGAGAAGGCTCGCGGCATTGCAGTTCTGTCTTGTGGCTATCATGAGGTAAACGTTGCTGTGCTGAATGAACATGTAGGTCACGCCGTTGTCGTGCACAACCGGATCTTGAGACTGCGGATCGGCCTTCAATAAATAGAAAGAGTTCGGGGATGAGAAATTGGATTTGCCAAAGTGAGTGGAAGAGGGAAGAGAGGTGAAGTGGAATGAACCTGTTTCTCGATGAGTTTGGTGAAGAAGCGTTCGGCGTCGACGGCGGAGACGTCGCCGCGGTAGTCGCGCCAGATGAGGACGCGGCCTTTGATATCGAGGAGGAACAGAGCAGAGGCTGCCCCCGCCATTGCTTGCTGCTGCGATCGGATCCCAGATTCGATTCAGATCAACGACACCGTCAACAAAGAAGAAGAAGAAGAACGACTGTAATACAACGACGTCGTTGCCACAAAAGTTATTATTCTTATTGTTTTTTGTTTTTCTAGCGATGGGATTTCAAAAAAGTAATAAATTAATTACAATAATTATGTTTATGGTTTATCTGCTTTTGAAAAAGGTTTATTTTATATTCTTCAATTTTAAAAGTATAAAATGTATTATGTTTTAACATAAATGATTTTTTTTTAATAATTATAAGTAGGGATGATTATGTCTTTTAATGATACATTCCTTTTTATATATATATATATCTTTCAACTAATTGAGCGTTGAATATTTTATTATTAATTTTAATATTAATAAAATAAAATAAATGTTTTTATTATTAATATTAAACCGTTTGTTTCAAGATAATGAAATATATTTAATTATATATTATATAGATTTACGGTTTAAAAAGTATTTATGATTGTTTTTATTTTATAAGTTAGTTTTTTAAGTTTAATTATGTTATAAATTTAATTCCAAGGTAATATTGTACCTTTTAAAAAGAATTTAGTTGATAAGTTATTTCAACTTTAAGATATTCATAACTTTTAAATTGTATATTTTTTATCATAAAAGTTAATTAATCATACTAAAATAAATCATTTTAATCTCGAGACACTCATAACTTTTAAGATTATATATCTTCTAAGATAAAATTTAATTAATTACATTAAATCAAGTCATTTTGAATCAAACATTCATAATATCTAAGATTATGTGTAATCTAAAATGAAATTTAGTAAATTGCATTAAAACAAATTATTTCAACTTGAAAAACTTATGACTTTTAAGTATAAGAAGGTCAATATTATAGCAAAATAGTTCACTCATAATGAAGCTTAGTAAGGTTAATCATGTAGTCTAGTTGCTCTTGAGCATTATGAAGCAAATATTCAATCAAAATGATAGCATTAATGATCATCACTCAAACTACTGTAAATCTCAATCAACCTGCATTCTTCTCCTCTTTTGTTTATAAATATAAGAGTATCATTAAATAAAAACAATTTTCTTTATTCATTTACTCCCATAGGCAAATTGTGAAACTAGGAAGAATTTCCTAAAAAAATTTATAAAAATAGTATCATAAACTATTTTAAATCCATTATTTTTGTCACTTACATTGCCAATACTCAAATACTTTTCAATTTTATAAAATTGAATTATATTTTAAATTTAAATTTTATAAATTAAATTTTGAATTTCCTTCAAATTTATATTTCTAATGTCTAAATATATGTTAGGGATTTAAACTTTAAAAGTGATTGTTTATGATGCCAAGATTCACAAAAGAAAGAAAAATTACTCCAATTAATTCATTTATACTAAATTGAATTATAATGTAACATATTAATATAATATTTTTTTAAAATAAGATTAGTATACTTTAAGTATCTATTAAGCAAAAAAAATATATATATATCATGACAATTTGACTAGTGGTCTAGGCTAGCTAGTGGCAAAAATTTAGTTATTTAGTTACAATTTCTCTCTCAACATAACATTGTTAGCATATTAACAATTTTATGGTACATTAAGGGGTCACTATGACGATTTAACCCTTTAATCTTCTATTCAAAATCTCTACATATGTACACCCTCCAACAACTAAAGCAAAAATTCCAAATGGCAGTGACATTTGACTAGATACAACCGATTAATTAATATATTAACGCAGCAAAGACAAGGATTAGTATTTAGTATACAATTATCATGTAAGAAAGAGTCTTCATCTTCCATCAAATACCCCACTGAAGACCTGGCTGTCTCCACCTAGTGATGCTTCCCACTCTATGGAGGACATCACAATTTTTGACAATGCCACAAGCATCTCCATCATCTCAGGCCTCTCATTTGGATCTTCGTGCAAGCACCAATGAGCTAGTTCTGCCATCTGCAGTGCAAGATTGATATGAAGGGAAACTTTATATTGCCAAATATACATAATAAGAAGAGAAATGATGTTTTAACTTCAAATCAATTTAAATAGAATATTTTGATAAATATAACCTTATACACATCTTCCATAGGATAGCTACGTTGAAGATTCCCATCTATGGTGTCTGCTAACACAGTCTCTGGGTCTTCATGCTTGAATATTTGGCCAACCTGAATCAAATGTGATGAAAATAAAGATCAAATTTCTTCCTTTCAAATAAATATTAAAAAAAAAGTGAGTAATAAGTCAACTGCAGATTTAGGTTTCTGAATAAAAGTGAACTAAAATTTTTTTTTTGGATATTATTTATAATACTTTCAACCTTTAATTCAATTTTTCTGCCGTCTCTTTTAGTTCTCTCTCAGAAATGAGTTTGACTTACAACTTTAACAAGTGTTTTCATATTGTTGGCTTCTTGGTTGTCACGAAATAGTGCGCGTTTCCCTGTTATCAACTCTGCTAGAACCACACCAAATGCAAATACATCTGTTTTGATAGTCACTTGAAGCTCCTTCACAGATCTAACAGAGTTAAAACAAGCGATCAGAAGAAAAATTCACTAAGGGTGTAATTTTCTTTAGTTGACTTTTAAGCAAAATAATGATTGCAAGAAAATTGTTTCTGTTGAACACACCAACAGTGTAGTTATGAATTGGAAAGAACGAAACCTACTCTGGTGGAAGGTAGCCTGGTGTTCCAACAAGCCTCGTTGCTATGAATTCTTCATCGTTGGTTCGTTCTACTAGCTTTGCAAGTCCAAAATCTGCTACCTGCGTATCAAATGCCATGTTAATGGATTGAGTTTGAACTAAGAAGTAAGAAGCATAGACTTTTGATTCAATGATACTTTCTCAACTTAGTTTTGCAAATAAATAAAATAAATTCATCTCAGGCTAGTTCTTATATGTTGCATTTAAAAGACAAGTACAATGTTTGAATACCTTTTAACTACATATAACATGTTGTCACTTGTCATATGAAAACTTGAACAGCTGATCATATATAGTTTAACATGTGTCTTGTGTAAAAATATTGATAACTAGTATAACTATTTTTTATGGGGGCATTTTTGGCCAGATTCAGAAGTGAGTAAAACAAATCAAGGATAAGTACCTTTGCTCTAAGCTTCTCATCAAGAAGAATATTACTGGTCTTTATATCACGGTGCACATATCGTGCTTTTGTGTAATCATGTATGTATTCAAGACCTTTTGCTGCATCTAATGCAATTTGACACCTAGCACACCAAGAAAGAGGCTGGTGACCTGTTCCAATACCATGCATGGTTCAGAATTCTTGATATCATATAAACCTAAAATCAAATATTTTAAAAATATCTCGGAGTCTATTTGAATACTTAAAAATGTTTAAAAGTTTTTTTACTAAAAAATATTCATTATTTTTAGTAAAAAAAAATTTAAAAATACTTTTAAATTTATATCTAAATAGACTTTTAATGGTTTCCTTTTGGCAGACGAGTAGATCTTGGAGTCATTATACCTTTCAGCAAAGGATCATGAAGATGTTCACTGAGAGATCCATTTGGAACATACTCATACACCAAATAAAGGTGGTCATCTCCGCTAGCATATCCCAACAACTCCACCTGAAACAGTGATTATATCAATCATAGAATCAAACATCAGATATTTAAGACTGCCAAAGTTCTCTTCATCAGAGACATTACTTACAATGTTAATGTGATGGATCTTACACAAGGCCTTGAGTTCTGCATAGAATTCTTTGGATTTATTGGACCTCATCTTCTTCACAGCAACCTCCTGAAGTTAAAATATCTATCATTCTCCAACTTTCAGTTAGCACAAGAAAATATGCTTCAATATCTAGGTGGGTTTTCATACCTTCCCCTCTAACATTCCAAAATATACACTCCCATATCCACCTACTCCAATCCTTCGGGTTTCATCAAAGTTATTTGTAGCATCTTCAATCTCCTCTAGAGTATAAATTACTGGCCTTTCTGACTCAAATGGTGTTGCATCTGCACCAATATTATTTACCATGAATAAGCAACAAATTTCTTAGTCTCCTTGTTGAGCTGTTAGTATATTACTGATTACTGATAATTTGATATTTTTGAAATATAACTTGCTTTTGATTCCAAAATATTATTTTGAAGTTACCTTCAATTTCTGTATGAAAGTCTCGGTTCATTAAGGAAATAGTTCTATTGGCGATTGATCTTTTAGAGACAGCACTTTGATCATTTTTGGCTGTTGCATTGGCTCTGGATCTCCTAAGAACGACAATGAGAATGATCAGGGTAATAATTGAAAGTAATGACACACCCGCTAAGACGCCAATGATTATTGTGTGTTTCTTTTCTGCAAAGGGAAAACCAGGGAAGAGAAATATTTAGTTTACAAGTTCATCATTGCTCAATTAATCTATTACAAAGGATTAAACATACAGTAGCATTATCTAATGAAGTTCAAATAGATACAGATACAATTAAACACAAATACAAATACAAATACAATTAAACACAATTAAAACATTAACCTGTTATGATACAACATATAAATTAATTTTAAATGAACATAAAATGATATTTTAAATTAAAAGATTTAAAAATGAGTATGAGTTCTTATCAACATAATAAAAATTTAACTAATTTTTCTAATTAATATTAATATAAATATTTAAGATTATAAAAATGCAATGAGGTTAATCTCTGAAATTGTGAGGTTAATTCCTACCGTTTATTTATAATAATGGTAAAATGACTAATACTTGACCGATTATTTTTAGTTAGATTTCATTTGCAATCATTTTTTTTTTCATTTATAGCACTCATCAAATTTAAGGTTTTGTTTAAAAAAATCAAATTAAGGAGTACTCATTCGTAGAATAAGTCTTGTATATCAGGTTTAAAATAACAATAACTTTAATTTGAATTTTTTTAATTTCAAGAACTATTATTAAAGTGTCATGCAATTTGATAGACTAAAACAGTAGTTTTCTCTTTCAGAAGCTAAATTAACTCAGCTCACAGGTGAAAGTAAATATGTAAATTTCATGAATGATCAAATATATAGGAGAGATCGAGGCAGAGAAATCATCACCTTTTCCTTTGGAAGGTAAACCATTCAGTTCCCTGGGAACATACAGCACCCAATTAATATCTATGAATGAGGGATTCTGAGCCAGAACTTCATTCATACTCTTCATGCCATCAAACGTAGCATTTAGCAGAGTAGCAATTGACCAGGTTGTATCACTTTGCTGAACTGTATACGTGACCACAATTTGAGAATCACTTTTTTCTGAACACCCACAAGGAAGATGTATCGCCAAGTCCTCATCTGGGTCCAAACCTTTGTTAATAGGCCAGGCTTGGGCACTATAAGTAACGTTGTTAATATTCACAAACGTGTCATTAGGCTTCACCTTGTAGGTCGTTTCATAGAAATATCCGCCAAGAACGTCGGTGTTTTTGCAAGAACATGGAATTGTTATAAGGTAATCTTGCTTGGTGCCACGCGCTAGAGGTTTGATTTGGGAGGTGTTAACTGAGTAGAAGGTGGCTATGTCGTATATGTCGAGACCGTAGTTTATGTGGTAGAGTGAGGCAATGCATGTGGTGATCTTAGGGGAGCATTTGAAAGGTTCCAAGTAGGTTGTTTTGATTGAAGCTTGAAAGGAAAACACGGTTACACATGATGAAAGAGTGAGGAGAAGAGAAACTCATTTAGATTTTAGGACTTCATAGTGTATTCAATTAGTAATTAGTAATAGTAATTAATAATGTATAATTATATCAACATATGCAAGCAAGCATACATACCTAAAGAATAAAAGATTGATTGACATGCCAATAAATAACACGAGAGTACTGTGCGTGTTGTGATCATGAAATTTCTTTCCCTAGCAATCATGGGAAGGTTTCTAAGTGCATTCGTTGTTGCACTTGTCATCATGTGGCTGTTGCTTCTTTGAAGAAAAGAAACGTTCTCCAATTAGCATGATTTTGCAAATTTTGATTATTATTATTCTTATGCAATAATTTGGTGCCAATTGTAAGGATGTGGCATACTTGTGTGGGATTTCCGACGGCAATAGTGGCCAGATGATACTCTAACATAAAAGCCAGAGACTAATTCCACCAAATAAAAAAGCCATCACAGGTCACACTCTAGATGTAGTTTAATGCCACTTTAATGTAGACGAGCGGCAAAAGTCAGCTATTCACCTGGGTTTTTCTTTTTTCTTATTTTTTTCCCTCACGTCATTCATTTTCATTTGAAGTGTCCTAACTTATATTTAAAAGAAAAATAAGTGTGACAAGAATAATCATTTTTTTAATCTATGAAATAACTGTGACAAGAATCTAATTCTTGGGCATAAACTATTATGTCATATTCGAAATTAACTCCCTAAGACTAAGACACTGTTGGTGGTTGCAATCGTAAGCTTTTGATTTTTTATTTGAATATTTGAATATGAAAACAAAAATTATTTTGATAAAAAAAATTCCTCTAGTTTTATGTTTTTACAAATATATATAATTAACATGAATGATACCATAAATTAATAAATAAAATAATATATATAGGCATAAGTTCATATATTAGATTAAATTATATCAATTTTCAAAATAAAATATGAAATTTTGATTCAATTCAATAAAAAAAATTCCATAATTTTTAGTTTTTGGTTATTCTATTTTTTGGATATTAAATTATAAATACCCCTAGATATATATTTAGCTTTTAGAATATTTATACATTTATTTCACATTTCGGATATACGTGGGCCTGTAAATTTGCATTATTAAATTTATAAAAAAAAAAAAAAAAAACACACTGTAAAATTTGTTTCTAATAATAAACCATTAGTTTTTTAATTCTGTCTTGAACAAGTAATTTCTGGCGCCAATTATTTCCTTCAGCCAAAACAAGTAAGAATATAAAAGGATAAAAAATCCAAGGTTGAGAAAGTTGTTTGACTCTCTAACTTGGCTCTTCAAACGGTAAGCAATGAAATATAGAATCTAGCTATTCTTAGACACCCTGAACCTGTGTTTCTTCCAATAACAATTTGTCCATAATAGGTAGCTACCTCAAACAACGTTAACACTTTGTTGCGTTATAAAAGGTTCCCATACCTATGGTCCCATTTCACATCGAGTTTCTACAAACACATGAAAATGTCACGAATCTTCCTGGCCACCCTCTCCCTGTTGCTCTTGTTCCTCGTGGCTTCTTCCAAGGAGGAGGGACCTCCCAAACTGCCATTCCACTTTCATTCTCTGTTTCCATTTCTTGGTCATTCCGACGATCTTCCACAAATTAACCCGCAGGACGTACCACCTGTAGATCAGAAAATACCTGTAGTGTCTAATAGCCTCAAAATAGACTTCTACAAATTTAGTTGCCCCAACGCAGAAAAAATTATCGCAGACACTGTTGCTGAGATGGAAAAGAGCAATTCGGACACAATCGCCAATTTCATTCGCCTTCAATTCCATGACTGCTTCGTTAATGTACGTGACCCTTTCCAAACCATTGCACACCGTGCTTGTCTTTCTTCTCTCTAAATTAATCATATCATAACCAACAATAGCATGTAACTATGGTCTATTAATTGCCTCATGTCCATTATGGAAAAATTAATACTTGATTTCGACGTGTTTATCATTTGTTTATGCATGCATGCACGTAGAATTAATCATTAGTTTCTTCATTGACGATTGCGATTACTTGTCTCATCCTCTAAAGTGAATTCAATGGAGACAAATCCTTTCTTTTATTAACCACGATGGGTTGATGTAATGGTTTGACACCATGGCTACCATTTGGCAAAAAACTTGAGTCTTATTTCTACTTGGTGTGAAAATTCGTCGGACTAAATCTGGTAGAACTGAAAAAGAATCATTTCTTTTCATCGAAAACTAAATTCATTAGTAATGTTAATTTAAGGAATTAAATTGATGTGTTTGGTTCTAATGTCATGATCAAATTGATGTTTTACTAGTTATTTTTTCTTTGATAAATGTTGATAGTGCATGTTGAGGACATATATATGATATAGCTATGAAATGACATAGTGATGAGTTTCTAAACCGAAGTTGGGCATGGTGGAATTAACTAAACAGGGATGTGATGCATCGATCTTGCTGGATTACTCACCAACTGGTGACAAAGTGGAGAAAAGTTCAATGTTCAATGGTCTACTCCTGAAAGGAGCTGATCTGATTGATGAAATTAAGACAAGGCTGGAGAAGCAGTGTCCTGGAGTGGTTTCATGTGCTGACATATTGTCATTTGCAACGAACGAGGCAATGACACTAGGAGGCTTGCCCCCTCGGAAGCCCCTAGGTGGTCGAAGAGACGCCATTATTTCCCTTGCAACCGTTGCAGAAGCCAACAACCTTCCTTTACCAGACTGGACCATGGACCAAATGATAGAACTCTTCGAAAGGAAGGGCTTCAGCGTGGAAGAAATGGTGATCCTACTCGGTGCACATTCTGTTGGTATTGCTCATTGCGATGCCTTCATGGAAAGGGCTTACAACTTCAGAGCTACTGGGAAACCTGACCCTACCCTCACTTTGGAAGTGGTTGAGGAAATCAAAAAGGCGTGCCCTGGCGCTGGCACACCTCAGTATAGGAACCCCCCAGTGAACTTTGATCCCACCCCAACTGTGCTTGATAACCTCTTTTTTAGAGAGATGGTGGACAGAAGGAAAACATTGCTCATTACGGATTCCCATTTGTTGGAAGATCCCAGGACTTTCCCAATTGTGCAAAAGTTGGCGACTGACCCTGACATGTTCCCAAAGAGGTTTCCTGAGGTCATGACTAAGCTGAGTTCTTTGAATGTGCTCATGGGGAAGGAAGGGGAGATCAGGAAGATTTGTAGGTCCACCAATGTTTAAGCATGCCATCAAATCAATGAGTGAAGATTCATGTTTGACTAATTTTTTATTCCTTATTTTTTGGTGGGGCATTGTACATGTTTTGATTTTCACAATGATCAGTGCCTCCTTGCTTGGTTTCTTTTCATGTAGAAATTCTATGTTTTACGGCCAACGACATTTTAATAGTAATGTTTGAGAACTGAATATTCATAGTCTCATTTTAACTAGTTAAGCAATATAGGAATTGTTTCTCGTGGAAGTAGACAACTTGTTTAGACAGAATTTATCTTTTCTTGGCCTTGGAGTTTAATATAAACTAATTAAATGTTAATTAGCATGTTTTCTAAACGACACCACGTCTTTGTTTTGCTTAATGATCAGCTTAATTAACTTTCATTGGATATACTTTTCTCATTGAATCTCAACATAACTTGACTTTCTTTATAAGCGATATAACTTCAATCATAATTTTATATATTGAATTGAAAGTGTTAGGAATATTTTTTTTAATACATTCTTTATTGTATTCTGAAATTTGAGAATCGATCATGAAATATAAATATGATTCACAAAATAAAGAATGAGACTTCCATAAATTTGTAACTTTTATTCAATATCAAAAGATATTTCAAATATTTTTAAATGAGTGTGGCATTATAGGGTGAGTTGTAAAATCTGTCGAAAATCATTTTCCACTTGTATTCTAAGATTTTTTTTTATTTTTTAAATCAGATACTTTTAGTATGAGTTTAAGTAGTCTCAATAAAAGACATATCACATTGTAAAAGTGTAACGACCCGGCTGGTCACTACACACACTACTGTACACCGGAAACGCCAGACAGAAAGGACAAGTATATAAATATAGGATCTAGAATATAAATATATACAAAGTCTCTATCCGACTAGAGTTAGAGTGTACAACACAAAGTACAATCAATGCTACTATCCCAAGTAGCTACATAACAAAATAGTCACAAAAACGATCAGCTCTACTGGTCCACCGAAGACTCATCCTTAGACGTATCCCTGTTCTGCTCCCATACATAGTATGATCATCGCAATCCAATATCATGGAGATAACAAAAGGGTAAGCTAGTGTAATGAAAATTCAACATACAAATATATATATATATATATATATATATATCAATATAAATAAACAACAGATACAATTATCAGCACACTTATACAGCTTATACCACTCAATAATATCAGCACCGCAATGCGGCAATATCAGCACTGCCTTAGCGGTTAGAATCAACACCACATATGTGGCTAACAACAGCACCGACTTAGCGGCTATAATATCCCCCAACTCAGCACAACCCAGCACAGCACAGCACAACACTTCAACACATCAATCAACTTAACAAAATTCATTTAAAACCACATTATTTAGCCATAACAGCACACATCTTCAGCATACAACTCCTCGATCTTACAGCATAATCAGCAATCAACACACAATGCGTCGTCACGCATATCAACTCGGAGATC